CCAACCACGAAGTTACAGATTTACCCCTTAATCCATAAGTTATAGAATTGAAAAATGCACTTGTTGTGAAGTACTTGTTTGTTGTGTTTTGAGCTGCTATGCAACACCATTATTGATATAACTTGTCTCAGCTTTTGTACAAGTGTTATTCATCATGTTTAAGCTATAAGACCCTTTGGTTGCAGAGAATTTGAGTTATTACAAGGCTGTGTTCGGCCTATGTTGAAAACTAATATTGAGAACCTGAAATTGCTGTTGTATGTTTAAATGGTTAATACCTTGCTGTTTGAATTGTTTTTATGAACTGAGCAAATGTACTGTACATATTGAAGGCTAAGGGAGTGAAGTTTGAGCCCTAATTGAAGTTATATTACAGTATCACCCTTGAAAGTTAGTAAATTAGGGTTTGCTAGGGTCAAGTCTTTTGTGCTGCTATAGTGTGTTACCTTGCTAATTAAATTGTCCTAATCAATTGAGCAAGTGTATTTTGGTGATTCAAGACTGTGGAAGCAATTTACAGGCCGAGAAGTTACATAGTGCAAAAACCATTCTACCCTTGAGATTGTGGTTTAAGCCTTTGTGAAGTGACTTTGTTATATCTTGCTCCAATCACTGTAAATATTGTTGAGCAAAAGTTACTGAAGATATTAAGGCTGTGAGTAACAAGTGCAAATCAAATTTGAAGCCACATTGTGAAGTTATAGGTTTACCCTTGGTTTTAGGGTTTTACTCTATTAGGCATCAAATTTATTCTACCTTGCTGAGTTTATTGAGGAAGACATTTGAGTAAGTGTTATTTGGATATACAAAGCTATGGAAGTCCATTGTAGGCCATTCTTGGAGCTTGGTGTGTCACCGGACCAATGCCTAAAGATGTGCAAAAGAGTATGAGTGTGCAATGTGGCCAAGTTTTAAATTTATAAAAGCCACTACTACCTCTAACTAAAATTAATATAGCTAGGGTGAGTAGGGATCGTCCCAAGGGATTGTGGGCATGTTTGCAATGGAAATAATGTATAGGGTTAATAGGTCAAGTGATCAAAAGATGGTTTTTTTGGTTGATTAAACTACAATGCAATTGAAATTAAAGCAAGTAAGAGATAACAACCTATCAAATGAGACCAAAATCCATTCAATGAAACCACAATTTATGCACACACAACTATCTAGAAACATACACCATTTGCGTTCATAAGTATGAAACACCAATGAATAAGAAAAGATTGTCCACCTATCTATCAATCTAAAGCAACTACACTACATCTACACTAACGATATGGAAATTAAACTAAGTAAACTAAAGGTGCGGCACAATCCATCAAGGAACAAGTGTGAACCATCAAATAAATTGCAAGAATGTTTAATTAAGCACTATGTTTTGATCATCACTAGATTAGCTTCATCCATACACATAGACATGCATAAATTCCATTAAATCTAGAAAGAAGCACATAAATCATCCATTCTAGCATACATAGACATATAAGTAAAAATACATAATCAATTGGAAACATTAATCCATACACATCAAGTAGAAACCACTAGATATATATATAAATCCAAGATCAAGACATTTATTACAAGTAAATCCCCAAAAATATACAAAGCACTAAGTCTAGGAAGTAAACTTAGGGGCTACTCTAACCCCAAGTAGATGTCTAGCCACTCATTGAAGTAGTCATCCAACCCTCAAGGGCTATCTCCATGGTAAGAATGACCTCCTTCTTGATAGAAACCCTAGAAGAACAGAAAAACTCCCAAAGATATGTGTAAGCTCTCTAGTCTCTAGCCTCCTCTCCAAGATATGAGATATGATATGTATCAAGAAGATATTAGATGATATGCTCTTAAAATCGCTCCAAATCCTTATATGAGGCTCAAGTGTCACACCCAATGGTCTGCATTCTTGCACTAGGGTCATTGCAATGATTGTACCATGAGCCATCTTTTAATGAGCTGGAATTTGTTTTATTTCAGACTTGAGGAGGTTTGATCGATCGAACTATTTGAGATTGATCAAATATTGGTGAGATCCATCGAATGCTGTAGAGATCGATCATCCTTGGCGGTGCCTTTTTGAATAAAGACAAATCTCTGAGATATTTTGGAATATTTTGGGAAAGAGACCAAAATGGTAGATGGGGTGGTAAGTATGGATAAGATCGAATATTTTCGATCGATCTGAGAAAGGTTGGATCGATCGAACGTGGTGGAATCTTTTGAATAAGGACAATTGCTTGGATCCATCTTGAAGTGTCTAGATTGATCTTGCTATAATCGATCGAAGGAATGTTGAGATCGATCGAATATGTTAATTTTCCACACTTTGCTTCATTTTGCTTCCACTTTGCTCCTTTCTTCAATTCAGCTTGAGATAACTTCTTTTAAGCTCTTATGAATTAACTTACTTTTGGGATAAGTGCCTAAAAAGGGCAATAACGTGAAATTAGTCTAAATGGGAAAGTAAGATAGATAAAATTCCTAGAATACCTAAGCTTAAGATAGTTAAATGCGCACTTTTCAGCGCTCATTAGAGCTGCATTGTGAAGTTACTTTATTACCCTTGACTTTAGGGTTTTTGCCTTGTGGGAGCTGTTTTTGTTCTACCTTACTTATCTACTTGTGTATTCTATACAAGCAAGTGTATTTGACTTATTCAAGGCTGTGGGAACCTAGTTTGAGCATCAAGTGAAGCTGTAGTGTGTATTGACAGTTCTACCTTTCTTTTTATAGTGAAGTGAAAACTAGGGTTTCTTGTGGTGTGGTACTTAAGGCTGTGTGTATTCACTCTTATTTTATATTCCAGCTTAAGTATATTGTATTTGGTGTGTTGACACCTTCATTCATTGTTGATTAAGCTATTGAGAGCTTTGGTGTCCAAGCATAGGGGCTGTGGACTGGGGGAGTGCCTATGTACACATTGTTTGATCTTGTGTGTGTGTAGAGGCTGTGAAAGTCAGTGTCCTAGTGAGTACAAAGTGGTTAGAAAGTGGGGTAGCTGAGTGAGTAACTACTTGCATGCAACAAGTGAAGATGGTGAGCTAGTGAGTGTGAATTGGTTGTGAAAGCTAGTATCTATTCTTGTACAAAGGTGTGTGCAGTGAATAAGATAGCTGAGTGTGTAACAAGGTTCATACTACTAGTGGAGGTATTTATTGGTTGAGGCCAAGAACCAAGGTTTTGTCCCTATTGACCGGGTTTCCTTGTATATCTTGTGTTCATGTGTTTTGCTTGATTGTGTTGGTTTATTACTTATATGTCAAGTATATTTGCATTCAAGTGAAAAAGGAAAAAACTACCTTTGACCAATTCAACCCCCCCTTCTTGGTCCAACAACTTTTTCATTCAATTGTTCTTCTCTGGCCAATCTCTTTTCAACCAGATATGCTTTTAGTCTTTTATAAGCGGCCCTGAAAGCTTATCGTTTCTTTTCTTCTTTATTTGTGTAATCCATCAGAAATGTCTTCAATTTCCTTGATGGTTGACCTGAAAATATCAATTTTCGGCCGAATTACTTCTGTCAATAGCTCTTCAATATCAGTATTAACTAAGTTCTTCTTCATTGTTGCTACTGCTAGTCATCCCATCTTGTTAATGCCAACAAATTTGATAAGTACAACAGTTTTATCATAAAGTGCAACCTCGGCCGAATATAGCCTAGCTATAAAGGGTTTATTATCGGCCTCAACAATTTTTACCTCATTTCCATCCCAAAAAATCAACATTTGATGTAATGTTGGTGGGATACACATATTAGGGTGAATCCAATCTCGGCCTAAAAGGAGATTATAGGCGGTAGTTGAATCAATGATAAAGAAGGTCATAAAGGATGTTTTACCACCAATAGTAATTTCCAAAGACAGAATACCTTTGGTATTACTAGATCATCCATTAAAACCACTGATGACCACGTCGGTTGGAACCACATCATCCATGGTTTTGCCCAATTTCTTCAAAGTAGTTGCTGGAATGATATTTGCCACTGAACCATTGTCGACCAACACCCTGTTGATTGGCTGACCTTCAACACATACTTTTACATACAACGGCCTCAACTGTTGTGTCATGGCCAAAGGTGGTTTTTCAAAGATGATTTTATCGGCCTCAGTTGGTTGGTCTTGAGAGACCAATCCTACCCCGGTCGATGAACTTTTTGAGTCCTTCTTAATTTATGATGATTCAGCCTCGCCCTTAAGATCGGTTGATCTAACATCCCTATTTATCATTGGCTCTATCATTGCTTCAAACACAGAAGGTAAAACAAATACCATATTACAATTTACCTTATTAGGAAGGGAACCAAAACAAATTCTGTATTTGGTCGCATGCTTTGGATCTTAATTTGGCTAATCATCTTTCTCCTTATAAGAGGATGCCTCATTCCCAAAAGATATAGTAACCTCCATGTCTTCAGCCTCCCCTGGTTCATCTTCTTTAGCTGGTTGAACCTTATCGATTTTATCCTTTTTTTTTAAAGTTATTTTTCTTTTGCATCCTCCTTTTCTGAGTACGTGTAGGAGGCTGCTTAGGAAACTTCGGATGATTCACTCGAGTCCATCTGACATGGTCAACCAAAAGAGGTCTAACTGTTCTTACTCAGTTAGATTCTTTCCCCTTTTGAATCCATATTTCTGACTAGATTACAAGTTTCCTTTTGAAATTAGGATAGGAATGTTGCTCTGGCATAACTCTATCGGCCACAGATCTTTCTGACCGAATGATTCTTACTGCCATTGGCTATTCTCTCTGAATATTGGTCAATTAACTTCGTCGGGATTCTGCCTAGGCTGATAACCTAACCGTTCATGGACACTGTGCTTTCTGGTTGATTGAAAATAGCTTCTCTTGTCTTGATTATTCCCACGGCCTTTGGAATTTGGGCAACAGCCATGGCTGATGAGGACAATTTGAGCTTCCCTAAACTAATTTTCCAAATCCTTCACCCTCTGCTCATCGTTGCTGGCTGATGATGAACTATCAAGAACTTTTAGTAACCTTTCTTATTTACTATTATTAGCGGCTTTTTCAAGCGCCAGGCTGATTACATTGGTATTTACAATATTAGGAAATGGATCACCATCGACCCCCATCGCTTTTAGCTTCTTTTCAGAAAATTTCAAAACACCTTCATCAATTGCTTTCTGCAATACATTTCTAAATACATAATAATTGTTAGTAGTATGATTCCATGAATTATGAAATTTGCAGAACTCTTTCCTTTTGGAATCATTGGCTGATGGTATATTGTGTCCTTTTGGTAGAATAATTTGTTTGTCAGCTAACAAACGATCAAATATTTGTTTTGCCTTGGCCGGATCAAACGTATAAACCTTACCAGTATCGGCCGTGCCCTTTTTGGCTAATAAAGTTGATAGTTGAGTACCACTGGTGGACGCTTTTGGTTTTGTCAAAGCCTCATATACATAAGGCTTCTTAATAATAATTTCAGCCAAATTAGCATCAAGATCTTCCTCTTCAACCCCATCATTTGAAAAAACTTCATAAACGTGATCCCTATAGTATGTACCTTTAGAGGAATTTTTTCGTTCTTTCTCCTCCTTGAGAACCAACTTATACCTGGTATCTTTCTCAGCCAGGTCATATATATCATGAAATGGGACTCTTTTAAACCTCTTTCGGAGTTCAAAATCAAGGCCGTTCAAAGCTAAACGGTACTCCTGCTCTAGAAGAGGTACACGGCATCTTAATCTTGCCATCCTGAATCTTGTAATGAATGTCCCGACCGATTCACTAGGCAATTGGCTTAGCCTGGATAAATCAGCCAGAGTTGGTTCTGTCTTAGTACGATAGAATTGATTAGGAAATAACTCCTCTATCTGTGGCCAAATAAAAACATAATTAGAGGTAAACGAATATACCATGAAAAAGCTGCCCCAATCAAAGAGTTAGGAAACAGTTTTAATTTTAACAAGGGCTCACACTAGCCTCTCCACATTGAATTGTGAAACGGCCAATGTGTTCCACGGTCGATTGATTCCCTTCTCCGCTAAAGGTTACAAAGTCGGGAACTTTATATCCTTTAGGGAACTCAACTTGATCTACCACTTCTGGATATGGAGTTCTATAGATTGGTCGGCCAGTACCTCTAAGTTCCATGCCATACTCTTGGGTGAGTAAATCAGCTAATTGCCCTCTGTCTAGCATGACCTGTGGTGGCTGATTTACTACTAGCGGTACCTGATTATAAATTAGTGGCACCTGATTAAAAACTGGCGGTTGATTAGCCACCGGTTAATAGTAATTCAGCCAATCATGTGGTTGATTAGCCATATTCTACCCCCCGGGCCCTACTTGTAGTTGTACGTGATTATACAATGGGTTTGGGGGTCTCTACCTGGTCTGATTGCTCCCCGAGTTCAAAGGTACTCAAGGAGGGTTTGGTGGAATTACCTGCGGCCGCGGATTTACTATTGTCGGCTGATTGAAATTTGACACAGTAGGTCGCGGATGGTTCTCTACCTAGGTTGGTGGTGTATAAGCCGGGTGACTTGATGTTGCACCTGGTTGGAGTATCATTACTGGCGGCCATGGCTGTGATGATTCAACGGCTAGGTTGTGACGGATTCGGCTAAAGAGCCGATTCCTGATTATTGAAGTGCTAGCCTGATTCGGCCTATTCAAAATGGCAGCTGAGAGTTGGGACATAATTTTATGCATGTCATTGTAACGTGCACCCATCCTTCCCGTTGCATCTACCAAGGAGCTTACCTGTACTTGCATCACTGCTAACTCATCAGTAGGGCTCGATGCAGAGTTCTCAGCCTGCCCTAGCTGATGTCCTTCCTCTAAATCTTCATCGGTAACCATGGCCTTAGAATTTTTTGTAAGCCGTGGTGGCATTTTTGCCTCTTCTAAACACCCACTAGTAGTCCCACCAGGCGTGCCAAAATATGTTCGCGCGGTTTTTTTTGGTCTTACGCAAGTCAATGGACTTTTTCGGGCGTGCCAGAGTATTTGTATAGAACACTCAAAATATTGAAATGAACACTAACCAATCACTTTTTCCAATGGCCAACTTTCAGGCGAATGTGTGGAGGAGATAATAGAAAAAACTCCCAGCGAAGTTCTTTTTATGCCTTTGTGCAAGGACTTTTTATCTAAGGTGTTTAAAAGAAATAAAATGCAATTTAAAATAAATGAAAATGAAATGGCTGAATTGAAATGGACTGAAAAGTAAATTAGCCGAATTGAAATGAATTGAAAAGTAATGTTTGCAATAGCATGAACAGGCCGAATTAAAATGATATAAATCTGATCAAAGATTTGTCATTGAATCCGTTGCATAAAACAAAGATTAAATTTGTAAATAGCATAATTAAGCATTGAAAAGAAGAATAAGTCACTGGAACTTAGTTTCTTCGAATGAAATTTGCCATTTGGACAAATGAATTGAAGATAAAAATGATGTTGAGTCATTTGATGAATTTTTGATTCATGCTGATTTGTGGTTGGTGTTAGACAAATTGGAATAAATTACAGTACTTCTAATTATAGAAGTTTAAATCAACTTATTCCCTAATTAATTGCTCTCAAAATCCTCTTTTCCTTAATTTTCTTCACTTTGTTTGTAATGACCCGGTCATTTTACTTCCTTTTCTTTTTCTCAGATTTTAACGGATATTTTTTTTCCGTTGTCTTTTCCTTTTTGGGTTCAGTTTTTCATCACTTGATGTCGTCTCGAGTGCTCTAGAATGATTTCCGAGACTCTTTTCCTTGGATTGACAACTTCCTTTGGGGATTGTGTCATTTCCATATTTTATTTTTCCGAACACTATTCAGGAATTGAAGATTCCATTGCTCCTTGGATGGCTTACAGTTTCTAAGTTTCTATTTTTTGCAAGTGTTAGCATAAGATGCCTCTTTGTAGCCCTATTTGTTTAAACTTGTATTCGTTGATTCGTATATGTAAAGTGTACGTAAGTGCACTCTTTTCAATGTATTTAACATGTATGAGATGAGGCCGGATGCCAATGACATGTATCTCATTTTCTATGCACTTTTGTTTTCAAAGTTTATTATGAAAATATTGGAAAATATTAAGTCATTACTTCATAACTTTCGCATCGGGTATTGGAATTTCATATCTTTTCTGCCCGGACTCAGAATTAGATGATTCTTGAGTCTAATTTTCTTCATTTTTCATTGTCCTTCCAATGGTGTGCACAGTGGCACCCTTTTCAGTGAGAAATGACCATTTTGCCCTTAGTTCATCTCTTTTCGGGTTAGGCATTCTTACTTCATTTGCTTGGCTCATTTGAGCTTCGTGGCTTCATAGAGAGTCATTTTGGGGCCTTAGGGATGACGTACATCTCTTGAGGTCATTTGGCTTCTTTCGCTTCCGCATTTTGGGTCCGTTATCGGGTCAACTTCTGGTTCATCACTAACGCACCGGGTTGAGAAATTTGGGTCGTTACAGGTGGTATCAAAGCTCTTAGGTTTGAATACCTTGAATGATGGGTTTTGAGTGCATATCATGCTTATGTTGCCATGCTCTATGTGTTTATATGCTTCATGATAATATGTTTTGGTTTGATAACATGTTTATGTGCTTACGCGCTATATGTGGTATGCCGTTTGTTTAGCATGATTTAATTATTATGTAAAGAGCATGACATATGATGTATTCTTGATCAGATTTATATATGCATAACTGTGTTGCATATTTGGCATGACACGAGATTGGTCATTGAGGCTCGAGTTGAGGTTAATGGTGATTGTAGTCACGGTTGTATTGTAGTTTAGGTTGTTGTTGACCTAGAATTGGTTTTGAGGTAGGTGGAGAGACAGCTTTTGTTTAGGCTCTCGTGGGGTGAGCCATTAGGCATAACCGTAGTACTGGATTTGTTGATTTTAGGCCATGGTTAGGTTTTGGACCTTTTGGGATCCTTGGTTGTTTTGGAAGGTTCCTCTGAGATTGCAATTTTCGTGGGCCGGTACGTTGTGGGCAGGTGCATGGCACTGTCATGCTACCGTACTGGCAAGCTACGAGTGCAGTTCGGATGTAATCAGTGTTGGGTTTTGTTCCGACAGGTATAGTCCTTTTGATCGATAATGATGATGGTTGTTTTGGGGATCAGTCGTACTGATCGATTTGGTTGTCTGATTGTATGGCTAGAGTTGCCATTTTCTTTGAGTTCTCCTTGCGCGATGATGCTTTTGGGGTCAAGTCGATTGATAAATGCTTCGGGTAGAGAGAGAATTGCATTGTTAGTGTCACTTGTAGTGTCACCCTTAGATTCAGAGATGGATTGTAAGATTCTTACCATTGTGGTAAGGGCTCACGTTTGTTTTGAGACAGGTTGTTGTTGCATTGGTTTTTCGAGTCAGTGCATGGCTAGGACTGGTCCTTCCTTTTTACCTAGGCACTCTAGGACACGATGTCCATAGGGTTCTTTGTTGCATCACTTTTGTTTTCTGCAGTTTCATTTACTACCATGTTAGTAGTATGATTTATGATATTGTGATGCATGAGTAGGTGGAGGTCTATCCACATTTGCCTTCTTGTTGTGTGGCAATAGTATGTCTTTCTTATATGTTTCGAGATGCCATGTTGTTACTGCGCTTTAATGACATGCTTTTATGTTTATGTGGAGACGTGCAGCATGTGCTTTTGATTTTCATCTATGTAAGTAGATTTTCTTTCTGGTAGTTGCATTCCTTGTCATATGCATGAACTTTAGGTTTGGTTTTCCCATTCGTTTCCCTTAGTCACACGTAGTCTGTATGCGGGTTTCCACAATGGTTTTGTGCTGGTTCATGTTAAGAACTTCACAAGGAGTGAGTCTCTTCCCTCTGTTGCGTTGTGCACTGTTTTGGGGTTAGTTGGTCCATGAGGATCATCGTTGTTGTCTTGAGTCCTTGGTGAGGATTTGATAGATTTTGGTCGACTTACTTCCATGTAGGGGGTGAAGTCGTTGACTTTGTTGTCTTTCATTTCAGAGATGGAGTCGTGGTGTTGTCCTTTTTAGGACCGGTGGTCCCCTTTTTTTCTTATCTTCCCTTGGGGAATTCCTACCGTGGTTGTTGACGGTTGTGGTGCTCAAGTGAGTTAATTGGTGTGAGATCATTTTACGGAGACTTATGTCCATATCTTTGAGGATTGTTTGATTCGTGAGGTGAGCTCGATGCTCTTTTGAGAATGTCTTTTGGAGACTTGTTCCAGTTTTGGAGGCCTGGATATGGTTGACTCTTAGGAGAAGTTTTAGAGGATCGTTGTTGGATATGGCTTGTTTGTGGAGTTTTCTCAACCTAGTTATGACTAGGCATGGCCTTGAGGAATCGTAGTTCCAGTGGTTGTTTATAGATGGATCGAAATTGAGGAATTTTGATTTAGCTTGGTGTTGTCAAGTACAATTTTGAGAGACTCATTCTATGACCTTGGTTGTCAAGATTTTGATGTGTGTGCCACTTCGTAGACTTGTATTTCGAGGATCTAGTTATCTGTGATAGGGATTTTGATCCGATGTTTGATTACGGTGACTAGTCTTATAGTTGATCTATTTTAGGATGATATCTGGGATTTTGGAGATGCTGTTTTGCTTGTCAGACTTTGGATTCGTAATTGATGTTGTTGATAGTAGTGTTTTGAGATGTTAAAATTGTTGGTCTTTTTGTATTGAGGATTTAAGGCCTTAAGTGTAGCGGTACCTATGGCATTGTTGTCAGAGTTTTGGGATTAGCCAGGATGGTCCGGCCGGACATCTTTGGACCATATCTCAACTCTCACAAAATGTTGGTTTCCATAAAGCTTTTGGTAATGATCATTTTTGACATTGAAGTCATTTATATCGAGAGGTTTCATGGGTAGACCTAGTAGGGGCAGGTTATGAATTGGTGCCTTATACTGTCATGCTACCGTACAAGTTGTGTGTTGTAGGCGGGTACTAATTGCCGTCGATGCTACCTTACTGACGAGTAAGTGTGGGTGAACACTAGGAATTGTCATTACTACCACACATTTGAGTACGTCGTGGGCGGGTTCTGGTCGCTATTCGTACTGCCATGTCGTCTTTGTTTAGTACTTTGATTTGATTCATGGATATCTTGGAGTTCTGTTGGTGGTTATTTTTGGTTCCTTATGATGGTTCGTCAGAAGGGGTGCTTTCGATTGCTGTCTTCCGTTCCCTCGTCTGGCCTTAAGTTCTGTGTGTGAGTTTCGACTTGTCGTGTGGCCATGTGATCACTTTTCTTTTAAGGGGTTATCCTATCGTGAGCACGTGGGTGCGAATGACATGGGGTTGTACGTTGTCTTCAATTTTGGGATTACTTTCGTAGCATGTTGTGAGGGATACTCAGAGATGTACTCTGTAGTTATCCTGGTTTCGCGTTTTTGTTTTGTTGGGGCTAGATTTCGGGGACGCAATCCCTTTAAGGTGGGAAAGTTGTAATGACCCGGTCATTTTTCTTCCTTTTCTTTTTACCAGATTTTAACGGATATTTTTTTCCCGTTGTCTTTTCCTTTTTAGGTTCGGTTTTTCATCACTTGATGTCATCTCGAGTGCTCTGGAATGATTTCCGAGACTCTTTTTCTTGGATTGACAACTTCCTTTGGGGATTGTGTCATTTCCATAATTTATTTTTCCGAACACTATTCACATTTTGTCTTTTTCTCGTTTATCCTTTTTCCTTGCACAACCTCACTTTTTGTGCTCGGATTTGATTCTGGTTTTGCATGCATTCATGATATTTGATTTCCATGATAGTGGTATTTTTACTTTTCTAGAAAAGTATGTTGATTGCTTATTTCTTTCATAAAGGGGCATTAATGCATACTTTAGTGTAATTAATCTTAACTTGTGGGGTTTTAGTGTAATTAAATAAAGTAATTATTTTTCATGTTG